GGGGTAAGCACGTCTGTTAGGCGTCTGAAGATAGTCAGGACAACACCCAGTAGGAACAAGAGCTAGAGCAGATTGGCACATGAGAGACATTATATATAACGGCAGAGTTTGAGGGCAAACTTGTTGATCCCCACCTGCAATGGAGACTATCTCCACAAAGCACCAACGTCTACTCTGTGCAGGTGCATAGGGAGAGGTGAGGGTGTCCTCAGCATCCTTCCTTGGCTGGTAGGACTCGATAAGCGTAAGTGGAGAAGCTCACTGCTCTTTCTAACTCCCATTAGCTCCCTTTTGTTTTTTTTCTTTCGAAGAGATGCAGCATGATGGCATGCTGCCTTGTCTTACCTGTAGTCCTTCTGACTCGAAGATAGGGGACAGACCTGAAATCAAAATGTGCCACAGTGATTCAATTCCAGCATATTTGTCCTTCCCAGATCAGTACTGCTGCTTCTGAAGAACCCCACCTTCATCTTCCTCTGCTTAGCGGGAGCGACCGAAGCCACCCTCATTGCTGGGATGTCCACATTTGGACCCAAGTTCCTGGAGTCTCAGTTTAGTTTAAGTGCCTCTGAAGCTGCTACCTTTTTTGGTAAGGAAACCAGGTTTTTGCAATGTTTTCCCATTTGGCCTACAAATACAAGAGCCCTGTAGCTCATTTAGAATGGAGACAAACACGCTTTGCAGTTCATTTACAGAGCAGTTATCGTCTTCAGCTATTAGATAGGATCGTTTCCCGTCAGCACATCCGTACCAAGTGCATTTTCAGAGCTGTATGTAGATCAGGACATCAGGAAGAAATGCGTCACTTCTGTAGCCATCTGTTACCCTCTAGAGGAAGGCAAAATAATTGTAGTCTGTTCCTTCTAGTGCATTACCAGGAATCATTAACTAAATGTTTCCTCTAACGAGGCATGTCTGAACTGGGGGACATATTTTGTCAGCATCCCAAAAGTGGGAAGATCCTCACTTAGCTGCCATATTGTAGACCGAGGAAGTGGTGTCCAGCAAGCATCAATACTCATGATGTGCTCCTCAAAGAGTCTGTTTTAAGATCTCTGGATAGGAAAAGCTGCCTTACCAGGCTCATGCCGCGTTACCTGAGCTGTTACAGAGGACCACCTACTGTAGCAAAGACCACTGAACTCCCACCAAGAAGCCACACAGCAACCAAGGGGTTATTTCATGCAGACACACTGCAGTTAATGTATTCAGACATGAAAACTCCTTGCTGACATTTCTAAACTTGCTTGTGGTTTTTTTTTCCCTTTTTTTTTTTCAGGTTATCTGGTCGTGCCAGCCGGAGGGGGAGGCACATTCCTGGGAGGATTCCTTGTGAATAAATTTAAACTCCGCTGTTCAGGAATCATCAAATTGTGTTTACTTTGCACAGTGTCGAGTCTGCTGGCTATATTCATTTTTTTTATTCACTGCCCTAACATGCCGATGGCAGGAGTAACCCAGATGTACGAGGGAAGGTAATAACAATCATCCCGTCTGTCTTGTGCTGCGTGGCCCTGCTCAGAATAGAAGGATAACTCCAAATACACGGTGCTGGTGGTCGTCATGTGTGAATTGTTGGTGATGGAAGGTCATGTCCAGTCAGTCTTACAGGCAGATGCTGAGAGTGAGACCCAGAATATAGATATCCTAATTTTTGCATCTAGTTGGAGTTTATGGAAGAGGCTCCCTCTTTAGGGGAGATCAGCAGCACCAGAGTGTGAGATAGTCCACTCTTCAGTTGCCTTCACAGGGTCCCCCATCTCCATCCAGCGGGATAAACTGGACTAAAAGTGGGAATCTCCTTTCCAAATGGAGGTGTCTCTCTATGAGCTGGTCACTTAAAATCCCTTGGTAGCTCTGGGAAAGAGATAGTGCCAGGGCACGATTCCCGTTCATGGTTAAAATTGAGATGTAACCCTTCCCAAGCCTGGCTTTATGCTACTTGGTGATCCACTGCATCTCCTACCGTCCCCCCTTCTTCTCTTGCTCTACTCATTTCCTCCTGGAAAATGCTGTTCGGTGTCTCCCCACTGACTGCTCCTGTGTTTCCCTTAGTGCTTTGCCTGGTGGCCACCTAAACCTGACAGCAGCCTGCAATGCCGAGTGTGGCTGTCTACAGGAGACCTACAGCCCTGTCTGCGGGAGCGATGGCATTATGTATTACTCTCCCTGCCACGCCGGGTGCAAAAAAGTGTCCGAAAACCTCAGGAATGGCAAGAAGGTATGTCTGAAAGCACTGTGTGTTAGCAAGGTGGTGGCACATCTTCTTTGGAGTGATTTGGCTGGCTCTGCAAAAGTGTCCGCAGGTTTGAGCTTTGCTGCAAATCAGTGTAAAAGCCCGCTGCAGGATGGATGCTCTCAGGTACCACCTGGGATGAAGGCAGAAGGTACCCTGAGGTTGCCCTGCTTTGCTTCTCTCCATGTGTCCAACTGGTTTTGCCTCACTGGGTCAAACTGCGCTGAAATCCGTGGTAAATCATCCGGGCAGGTGCGGAGCTCGGTAGGCACTTAATTCGTGTCCCAGTGCTATTTTGGGTCTTCAGTGAACGTGATGTACCTCCTCATCCTTCCAGTATGTTGCTCATAGAGACAGGCAAAGGCTTAAGAAGGGCAGTGATGACATTCAGCGTTCAAGAGCTGCCTGGCGAAGTTAATTTCTCTTCTTTAATAACCTGTTTTGAAACAGAGGTGTGTCAAGAATGCAGCTTGATTTCTGCTTCACTCCGTTCCGGGAGTGAAACTGGCTGATTTCTGCCCTCCCCGAATTTCTTTCTTTTTGAAGCTTTGGCTGTCACCATGCTCTCCTTGGCGAAGCACCCATCAGCCTTTCTTTCCCAGGTCTATCATGAGTGTAGCTGCGTTGAGAAAACCCTCCTCCCTGGCCCTGGCAACGCCGAGGCAGGGAAATGCACCTCTTCTTGTGCAAAAAGGCCCCTGCTCCTGTTCTTCATGTTCGTGGTGATCCTCTTCACCTTCCTCATCAGCATTCATGCCCTCACCTCCACTCTGCGGTAAGCACGGGATCGCCTCGTCCTCCGCCAGCGCTGCAAGAATCCACCCCTCTGCTTTATCCTGCTGGCTCAAGCCATGGGGAAGGTGTGATGGGAACCACCTTGTTACTGGCAGCCTGGAGACATCGGGACTAATTCCCTTCCCTGTCTAGCTGGGAAGGCAAGTTTTAGCATTGGCAGCTCTGCCCTCTGACATTGGGCACGCACGTGTGTGTCCCAGTTTGCAGCAGTGGTGGGGGGACATCGCACTGGGGCGAACCTTGATCTCCAGAGGGAACGGAGGTCCCAAGTGTGCTGGACCCAAGTGCACAGGGTTGCGTGGCGGGGAGGTGCCGTGCAGCCTGGCAGCATTTTTAAACAATCCCCTTTTGTTCCCCAGGTGTGTCTCTGACAGGCAAAGGTCATTCGCACTCGGGATCCAGTGGATTGTAGTACGAACGCTTGGTATGGAACAGAGTGAATTTGGCCATTGGTGTGGTCCGTTGGCTTTGTGGAGCATGTGCCAAGCTGTTACCTAAGAATAAAAGATGTTGGGTTGGAAAAGAAGGGGGTAGGACATGCGCTGTTGAAAAGAGGATGCTTTCTCTTGTTTGCTGTCATTCAGAAAAACCCGATTCCCTTTGCATATGATTTGCAAACTGAATGAAGGGTTCTGTAACACATCACAGGGGGGGTAGAAGAGCAATGTCCTGGCAATGTGCCCTTATTTTGAGAAAAATGGAGCAGAGGCATTGAAGCTCCTGTGTATGTCTTTTGGCTTTTGTGCAACACGTAGGTCAGGATGGTCAAAAGACCCACTGGACTCTCAGGTCTTGAAAGTCAGCATATTTTAGATACCTTGTGGCTCTAGACGTTGCAGGATGAGTTTGCTTAATCACGGTAGCAGCAGAGCCTGATGCTTTTCTGCAAGCACCTTGCGTCTTGCAAGGCTGGTTGCATAGGTGCTGCCCAAACTGAAGGTCCGCGCTCTCTTCCCGCAGGAGGCATCCCTGGCCCCATCGCCTTTGGGTCCATGATCGATAAATCCTGCCTGCTCTGGCAGGACCAGTGCGGCGAGCAAGGTTCTTGCTACATTTACCAGAACTCGGCCATGAGCCGATACACCCTCATCGCTGGACTGGTCTACAAGGTGATGCTGCCTGTTAACTTCACTCTCTGAGAAAGCGAGCAGGTCTTCAGGAGACAGTGTTTTGCTCTGGGAGAGAATTTTACAAAATTGGGTTGTCCTGATCTGCCCCCCCCCAAGCCAAATTAGACTTTCACACAAGAAATGTTCTCAGGGAAGGCAAAAGCTCCATTTGCTTCTTGCCGGGTAATGATACTCCAGGCACCATCATTCTCTTAAGTTCCCAGTACTTTCCGGGCTTCCAGCTTCTTTTGCACCATATGAAATATCTCCTCTTCTCCCAACAGTTACCGAAGTGATTTTTTGCTAGAAATGGAGTAAAATATGTAACTGCAGCGTGTTAGTGAGAGTGAGGGATGGCATTGTGGGCAGGCTGTAAATAACCATTGCCCGATCACTGCTAGAAAATAAGAGAGCTTAGCTGGGTGTTTCTTATTTATTAGCTGAAAACCATCATTTTAACTGCTCCCAAACAAGCACTTGCCCTAGATAGTAGCGTTTAGCGCTTGCTGTGATAAAGAGGCTTTCAAAAGCCTTCCAGCAAATGGCTCAGGCAGTGTTGGTCCCCATAGCACTGTGCTCCACGTGTCCATGCGGGGCTGAACAGCTTTCCAAATTCTCACTGTCCCATTGCTACGGGGCTAGCTAAATTCAGATTTTTGCCCTCTCCGGCTCGGTGCGCTGGTCTGCTTCCCAGGCTGGCCTTCAGCATCATCTCCTCCCCAAAGCTTCCCCAGCAAATCTCATCCCAAATGGGGGCTAGGCACCTGGTTTTGGGGGGAGCAGAGTGTAACGGGATGTCTTTGTGGCTGCAGGTGCTTGGGACAACCTTCTTTATAGTCGCCTGTTTACTCTACAAACCGCCGCCACCAGAGTCGGCTCCGGGCAGCTCGGATGCATCTGGAAATGGCAACTCTGACCTCCAGGAACACAAACCTTCGCTGCCAGCTGAAGAGGATATATAGCGCTGTACACGTGCAAGTGACTTTCTCAGTCTCAAAAATATGATGAGAAGATGTTATGCAGTCCCTAGGGGGTTTTAAATTAATAGTAGTATCACTTTTTTTAGTTGAAGATAAATAATTTAATTAACCACAGGCGTGCTTGCTATTTTCTTAACAGCAGAAGCACATTGAAAATTGTGCGCTGATGCCATATGCAGTTATTTAATTTTATTTAAAGAAAGGGCTACCGTAACTTTTTTCTATGTCTGTGACAAGCAAGGACCGCATTCTCCACTCGTGGAAATAAGCACCGGTAACTCCAATGGAGCACGTGGGGTTTAAACCGCCAGAGTATCTGGGCCCTAATATCTCAGTTGTAAAGCCAACTGTAGCAAAACTTCTGTTGAGACTTCCTAAGCCTGAAAAGAGCCCTGCTGTCCTGCAGTCTGCATTGCAAAGAGGACGACTGGCCCTTAAACTACTGTATGCAAAGCAGATGGCCCTGACAGCGTCCTCCTCCTTCCTGTGACACACAGCATCGCTCCTTTTGTTCAGGAGCAGGCTATCTAATTATGCAAATTCATATTACTGTGCAATGGGAGATAGGTTGGAGAGGAGATTTGTCTAGCAAATTCATCAGTACACTACAGGCAGCCATCCCCGAGAGCTGCCGAGCGCTGTACGTTCACTGCCTCGTTTCATTGCAGGGTTTAACCATGGTGACGCTTCATTGGTTTTTTTTCTTGCGTTGTTTCAAGGTGATGCCTTTTGTAATGTATTGTGCAAAACTTGAACTTATTTCTTGCTGTTTCTTAGGTGCGGGAAGACATGAGATACAGATCTATGCAATGCTTCTCTTTGGTTGCTCTGTAAAGACATTGAGTTTGGGTAGATGAGAAAAGTCAGAATGGATTTAATTTGTCTCTAGACCACTAGCTTAAGGGATAGCTTGCCCTAACGACAGACTGCCTTGTGGAAAGGGGATGCTGACTTGTAACTGGCTTGCTTGCCAGTAGAGAGGGCAGCGTTCCCAAAATGACCTTTGAATGTGCACTTGCAATATTGACCAGGACCTTTCTGAGGGGGAAAAGTGGAATTTGGGCGGGCGTATGTCTGGCTTCCTTCTCAACCCAGACCAGGTGAGGTTAGTGCTTAGTCCGCCTGTATTTGCACAGCCACACAATCCAGGTACAGCTCCGGGGGAGGGCTGTGGTCGGCCCAGGAGTCCTACACTGTATAAGCCGCGTTCACAGGGACGGGATCTACATTGCTGAGCTGCAAAACTGGCACTTCTTTTGTGCCAGCTGCTACTTTGAATTACCTTGTAGATGGTTTTGTATATTTTATGTATTTATGCTTTCATAAATGGACACAAGATGGGAATTTGTTTCTTTTGTTAGCAAAGGACCAGCTCTCAGAGCGGAGGCAAAGCCATTCCCGTTGCAGACAGGGATGGCAGCGCTGGGAGCGTGGTCGATCTTCAGGTCAATGGCAGTCAAGAAAGCAGCTTCTTCCATTCATAGATCCCCTTCCACCAAAGCCAGGTAGTGACCTTCCCCTTCCAAAGCCCTTGTTTCCCAGGGCACTGGGAGAGACTTGAGCATCTCCAGTAACTGCTGGGAAAACTAGAAGTGCTAAGGGTGAGATGGAGGGTGGCTTTTGGCTGCTCAAACGTGGGCAGCTGGTGCAGCTTTGATGGGGCACAGCATGCGGGAGAGCCCTGATTTTCCAGGGAGGCAGGATTAGACCCACTAATGCAGGAGTTAACCCCAACACCACCCAAACACCGAAGGCTTCTTCACAACCTCCACCTGGGTTTGGAGCCACCTGCAAACACGAGCCTGTTTTTGCCCCCCCCCCAGCCACTGCCCTTCCCAGCTTACAGACACTTTGGGTGCAAGCAGGGATCTTAGATGGGGAAAATGCATGAATGTATTTTGGGAACATATTTTATGTATGATTCTATTTATGAAAGGTAGAAGTTTTTCTTTATAT